TCGCCCTCCCCCCTCTCTCCTCTCTCTCTCCTTTCCCTTTCCCTTCCTATCTCTATACAAAGTACTCGGCGTCAACTGATCTGGTGTGCATTCGACTGACCGCCGCAGACGTCCTCAAATTCGAATACCTATCTCAGCTCCTGCTCGACTCCAACTACCTCCCACTCGTCCTCAAACTGTTTGCCCACCAGGACATCCAACAGGTTATCGACAGCAAGACGGACCGCTCAGAACACAGGTACATCCTCCCCTTCTCCGTTCGTCGATAGCACACACCACCTGGATTAGCCCTGACATACCCCAGCTTCTTCCACTTTTGCAACCTCGGGTCCAAGCTGAAGGATCCCACGCGGGGAGAACCCAAGACCCAATCAAGAGAAGCACGAGAGGGAGGAGGCGGAGAAGTAGAGGACGACGATGAGGATGCGAAACGACCAGGAGAAGAAGAGGAGGAGGAGGAAGAAGAGAGCGAAGACGAAGCAGCGCCCCCACCGATCAGAAAGCAGCGCGTGGTGGTCCCTCCGGTGCCTGAACCCGGCACGTCGTCACTCCGGTTCGACGGAGCGGTCAGCGGAGGACAAGGCATGCTCCGACCAGAGGTAGACGAGCTGGGGTACCCGACGACGTCTCCGCCCGAGGAGCCCATCACGGACTTTTCGCGGCGCAACTTCTTCTCGCTAATCAACTACCTCCGCATCATGCAGAAGATGTGCAAGAAGAAGGCGCACCGCAACCTCCTGATGGTGCAGTACAAGTCGTCGACCATCATCCGCAAGTCCCTCAAGATGCCACAGCCCGAGCTGAGGCTGTACACGCTCAAGCTCTTCAAGAATCAGGTGCCCTACTGCGGGCGCAAGTGGCGTCAGGGGAACATGCGCGTCATCACGGCCGTCTACCTGCACTGCCGGCCCGAGCTGCGCGAGGAGTGGCTCGCCGGCTCGGACATTGACGCCGAAGTGGACTCCGCCCTGCCGCTCGAGCAGGCCCTGCGCTCGCTGACGCACTGGTTCAACCTCAGGAGGTACCCGGCCGGCATCGCGCCCGGTATCAGGGTCGCCATGAGGGACGAGCAGGACTTCTTCACAAGGGAGCTGGATAAGCTGGACGTGAACTGGGCCGAGATGGCGGCGCAGGACATGGACGATGGGTATTAACACGTGAAGGTAGGCAGGCCACCCGTCGTCTGCTGTCTATTGGATCACGGCGCGACTGGTCCTTACAGGTCACGAACAGGGTGCAATCGTCGTTGATGCGTCCGGGTGCAGAAACGATTGTTTCGGATTATATCATTACCATTCCGCAACTGGTTCTTCATGATGTAAAACGAGCGATCATGATGGCGAAGGGGTCAAATTTTTTGTTCAGGTGCCAATAGTAGTAGTCGCTCTTTGATAACGTGGAACGAACAGAGGGGAAAAGAAAATTAAAGGAAAGAGGCTGTCTCTTCACCAGGAAATGACGATTGATGAAAAAATACAAAGCCATGTTGCATGGAGCTGTTCATCACGAAACCAGTATCAAGTCAACGAGAGAAGTTTATCGTTCATTTACATTTGAAAGCTGGTCTTTTCTCTTTTTTTAAAAGAATTTGAAATGAACAACCGTCATTGTTCATTAGTCTTGAAAACCCGAGCCAGTACACTCCTTTCATTCAAAATATAGACATGACGGACATCATTCGAAGAATCAACATCAACACAATCAATCTTTCTTCTGTTCATCACGTCCTGTGCGTGACATAATGACCATTGCGACAGAATCTGTAGTACTAAGAATAAATCGTCTCGGGACAGAGATGTCTCGCGACATATCTCTGTCGCGAGGACAAGTGGGTATCTTTCTTGACATGTCATTTGACATGTCTCATGTGGTGGGTTGTAATAATAAATAGCCAGGAAGTCCATAGCGTCTCTCAAGAAGAACGTCTAAAACAGCCTACAGTATGAGAACATCCATCTCGGATCATAGAATGAGGTAGATAGAAATCAGAAGAAAAAAAAAGAGAAAAAAAAAAAACAAGACATTCATCTGAGATGTCATGAGAGGTTGGGGGGGGAACCACCCGAAACGAAAGTCGGTGCGTCTGTTTTGGCATGGGAAGAGAAAAGTCATCAGGTTCGGCTGTAGGTACCGTCACCGTACTGGTAACCGTTGGCAGCCTGCTGGGGATAACCGTAGCCAGTCTCGTACTTTGCGTTGTGGGCGCTGCCGTAAGGGTTCTCATTGCTGCCGTGGGCAGTGTTGTCAGTGGCATAGCTCTGACGGCCATCGAGTTGAGCAGGTGTGGTGTGGGCCGGGAGGGCGCTCTCGGACTCGGCATCCCCGCGCCTCTTGTTGCGGCGGAAGCGCCCGAAGAAGCCGGGCTTACGGCCGTAGCCGGAAGTGTAGTCGTTTCCGGGGCCGGGACCGTAGCGCTTGGCCTTGCGGTGGTGGCGAACCAGGGCAACTTCTAGGAGAGCAGAGATGAGGAAGAAAACGCTGCGTTGGTCAGAATCGAGACGCACCAGAAGGAAGGGAAGGGAGGTTGATTTACGTTGAGATGATAGCAACGGCTAGACAGGCAGTCTGGAGACGGCAGGCAGTGCGGAAGCTAGGAAGAGGCGTGAAGCCGTCGTCACCAGAGGCAGTGCTGCTGCCCTGGCCACGGCCAAATGGAGTGTCGAGGTAGCCGTTGCAGCTGCCGGCGCCGGAGCGGTTAGCCCAGGCGACGTAGATGAAGGCGCCGGCAAAGGCAATGTCGAGGACGATGGCGAGAAAGGAGAAGAAGGCGATTCCCGCGAGGCAGCATAGCAGGATCAGACCGATCAGGGTGTAGAGCGCGCCGGCACCCGAGATGCCTTCTACGGCTCGGTGCGTCTTTGTGATGTTAAGGCCGTGGTTGTCCAACGTGGCGAGGAAGTAGGAGTAGACGGCGAGGATGAGGACTGCAGCCAGGAACTCGATGCCTCGGAAGAACCACTGCAGTGACTTGAGGGCGACGCCCGACTTTGCGCCCATGGTGGCGGTGTGATGGGATAGCTGGGAGGTGTTCGGATGTTGTACGGGTATGATGAATATTATATGGTTGGTTCCTGAAACAGGATGTCAAAGGGAGGGAGGGGCGAAGAGATGACCCTTTTTAAGGATGAAGTGCGATGTATGACGATGGAGTCCAAGAGGAATAGCAGAAGAAGAGGAAGGAACAGAGTTTCGAACGACGTCACAGACACGAAAGGGATGGGTTCCATCCTTTAATAACGGCGATTGCGTGGACGACTGTGTCGATCACGCGGAAGAGAGACCCTCCACAAGGTGGTATTGACAGCCATGCTACAGTGCCAAGTTCCTTAGCAAGGAAGCTTTAGAATGCTTGTAATAGATGGTGAATACATGCGTACGTAGTAGCACTCCGTAGACGAAAGGTGGATCTGTACCTCCGTAGTCCGCGGGTGTAGCGGTCCTTATTCTGGGTCAATGATCCGGAGGGTGCTGGGGACTGTAACATTGTTGGCTGCTTGGAGGGTCGTAGATGTGAGAGGCAATGTGAGGAGGTCGTCTTTGGACAGTCATGTCGTCAGATGTGGAGGCCTGAGGTTTCATGATTGGTTAGGTCTGGTGCTTAGCCACAGGGGGGGGGAGGCTGTGATGGTCAAGCCGCTGGAATAATACTGGTCACAGTAGACACAGTAATCTGTAGACACAGTAGACAGAGTAGACAAGAGTAGCACAATGGTCATACTGCTCGTAGTCAAAGGTGACCACTGATGGGGCAGGCCTGTTATGGTCCCATTTGACCTACCTTGTATTTTTTTTCCCTTGTACTCGTAGTACAGGCCTAGGCAGCCACCGTACAGATTATAATATGTAATGATGGGACGACCCGTGGAATGGCTTGGAAGGACTGTCAGGTTGGAGTGGCGCAGGACTACACGATGCGCCACAATGTGTCCTAAATTGTCTACAGCCATCCGCTGCTGGCTTCTCTCGCATCCGATTGCCTCTGCTGGTTGCATTGCGCCTTCCAACTTTATTCCAGCTGCGTACCTTCCTTCTCAATTTCTGCCTGCTCACCAACCCGTACCTTCCTCAGTCATGAACCTTGTTCCAGCTCCAGTTTCCAACTCCAGCTTCGTTCCTCCATCTTCAACTCTGTCCTCCCGTACTTCGTCGTCAAAATCCACAAGTCATGATGTCAATCATTCCGACGAACTCGTCTTATAGGTATATTCATTGCCAGGAAATTCTTTTATCCGTCGTTCACATGAATTTCTCGATGCCTGGTATCTCGGCTTCCTGTCTCTCCCCGGCTCAGCTCATATCCCACTTTGTCCTTCTTAGCCTGGGTGCTGCACAGACAGCTCTCGCTTTGCTGTTACCCTCGCTTGCTGTTACTCTCGCTTGCTGTCACTCTCGCTGTTACGCAGGCCATGGACAAATCCAGCAAGTCGAAAAGTCACTTGGTCGCACCAAAGTACAGCACCATCTCAGGAGATCTATCTACCTACTACCTACCTACTATCTTAGCTAAGTAGAGGCCAACACCGACCGTCCTTACAGAATACCATTACCACTTGCACGGCCACCTGCAACCCATTCCATGGAAACATCAGCCAGAGAGACCCCCAATTTGCTAGTCACAGCCCGCATTTAAAAATCCGTCCCATGTCCATCCCTGAGGCTTGAACCCTGTCTGGCACCCAGAAACAGAATCCCACATACCAGGCCCGCCTACCCACGTTGCCAGCAGCCCGGTTCCGTCCAACAGTACAAAGTATATGTAATACATGTTATTGTACATATTACATGTAATCTCTATCCGGCTCAGCACAACCCGACTTCTAGCCTACCAGTACGGAGTAGCAGCACCCTCCCTTACTTGGCCATTGCGATCCCCACCAGCACCAACTTCTGCGGTGTGCATCGTATAGAAACCGCACTATTACTTATGCACATACTTTCTTATGCGCCACACCACCACCCATCTCTTGGCTCTCAGCTCCCGGACCCCTGCGCATCTCTTGGCCCGTCAACGGGAATACGGGTTTAAAAAAAGAAACGGCGGCGAAAATCCTAATCTGCGCCTGCACGACAAGCATTATTATCAGTTGAAGCTGAGACCATCCCCATGGTCTACAATCTAAGCAGTCTTCATGAGAGATTCATCCACACACTGACGGCATGCGAAGGGCATGCGAGTGCAATCATGTTCTGGCAGGGGTAAAGTGCCAAGCAGACACATCACCATGCTGACCAGTGTTAAGACGTTTCAACCAACCGGCGAGGCGTAATATCAATATCTCGCCTCTCATGCATGCATACGAGAAGATACATTTGGCAGCTCGCAAAAGAACTCGCAGTCCTCTCCCCTGCCGGTCGAAATCAGCCCGGCCAGAAGGGGTCGAGAGCCAGGCCGAACTGCGCCAAGCACAAACATGCCTCTTCGGGGTCCCGAATCTGACCATGCGACTGGAAATCTAACCAATGGTTCGCATGCCTCATACCAATACTTGCCAGCGTGAGCCTCTCCATCGCGAAGGGGGGGAAATACGAAGAACATGGCCTTGCATCGCATGTTGGCGACGTCTCGTACCAATCTGCGTACCACTCACTCTGCGTACCACTCTGTGCGTCACTCTGTGCAACACTCTACGTCGCTACGTGCATCGTGCCTGCCCTGTATTCCGTATGCGTGTGAACAGTCGCCGCTGTCCTTCTCCAGCCTGCTCGTTTTGTGTACCCGTACCAGCGCGTATGGATGAAGAAAGCAACTTACAAGCCTTCTTAATTGCATGAGCCGCCCGCATATTCTGATCATGTATAGTACGACTTTTCATTTTTCATTTTCCTTTTCTTCTTCTTCTTCTTCTCCTTCTGCGCCGTTCAGTTGACCTTGACCTTGTCATCATCTCTCTCTCTCTTGCACTGTGACTTATATGTATAGAGAAGAAGCCAGAATATCCCGTTGCGGCCGAGGATTGTGTGACCTCTATGGTTTGACCTATACCATCCTTATCCCCCCTGTACACTGTTTTTGGACGCAATGAGAGGCGCTCCCTTTATAGCCCTTGCAGGAATGCTCATCGGCTCAGCCTGGGCAGATCCGACCTGGCCGGCCGAGATTGACGAGCTCGAGGAGATCATGTTCCAGCTGGAGTCGTTTAGCGCCCGCAAGTTTGCCGACACGGTCAGCCCGTGCAGCAACGAGGCGTCGGGCCCGGGCCGTATCAACGCGGCCGAGTGGCTCCGCACGGCCTTCCACGACATGTCGACGGCGAGCGTCTACTTTGGCACAGGCGGCCTAGACGGGTCGCTCCAGTATGAGCTGACCAACACGGAGAACCTGGGCCCCGGCCTGACTACGACGATCGAGTTCATGGGCCCCTACATATCGAGGAAGTCGAGCCTGGCCGACCTCCTCGCCCTGGGGGTGTACATGTCAGTCCGGTCGTGCGGCGGGCCGGCTGTGCCCATCCGCGCGGGTCGCATCGACGCAACGGTAAAGGGAAACACGGGGGTCCCGCAGCCGCAGAACTCGGCGTACACCCTCCAGCAGCAGTTCGACCGCATGGGCTTCACGAACGAGGAGATGATCCAGGTCACTGCATGCGGGCACACGCTGGGCGGCGTGCACTCTGACGAGTTTCCGGACATCGTCACCGAGGGCACCGGCACGGACGACCAGATCGGCCTCGACGACACGGCAGCCGTGTTTGACAACGCCATCGTGACCGAGTACCTCAACGGGAGCACGACTAACCCACTGGTTGTGGGGCCTTCGGTCAAGGTGTCCAAGAACAGCGACTTCAAGGTCTTCGACTCGGACGGCAACAAGACGATGCAGGCGCTCGCCGACGCCGCCACGTTCCGCAGCACCTGCAAGGCGGTGCTGCAGAAGATGATCGAGGTGGTCCCCCCGGGCGTCAACCTCACCGACGACCCGATTACCGCCTATGCCGTCAAGCCGGTCGACATGCAGCTCACGCTGACGGCGGGGGGCAAGTCTTTCCTCTGGACGGGCTTCATCCGGGTCAAGACGACGGGGCTGGCCGACGACACCATCGACAGCGTGCAGATCACGTACAAGAACAGGGAGGGCACGTGCAACACGAGCAGCTGCACCGTCTCAGCCACGGTCCAGGGCTTGGGCCGGGGCTTCGACGACACATTTGCCTATTTCCCCATAGAGGCCACCATCTCTGCATCGACGGGTATATCGTCCTTCACCGTGACGGTCAAGTATACCGACGGTACGACGGAGGACTACGACAACAACGGGGAGAGCTACCCCCTGCAGGACGGCATACTTATCCAGAAGCCGCAGTCGTGTCTGCTCTCCTCGTCGGGTGACGTCACCCTCATCGCTGCCGTGCGGAACGACCTTGTCGGCAGCGACGATGCATCGGCCTTTATATCGTACAAGACTGCTCAGACGACCAGTCCTGTGCCACGCGTGCAGAACAAGACCATCAACCTGGAGGCCGGGGACTGCGTGGGCGAGTACACCTTCTTCACGGCTAACTGGACGATCCCCGGGGGGCTGGCGTCGCAGTCTTATATCGACGTGCAGGTCGGCGAGTACGTGGATGAGTTCAAGGGGGCGGTAGGCTTTGGAGCCCAGTGCCGCGAGTTTGAGAACCCGGCGACGTGTCAGGGGGGTCAGACGTCAGGGACGCCGTCTCCGACATCAGGTTCAGTCACTACTACTACCACCAAGGCATCAGTGGAACCCTCGTCGGGAACGACTACGAAGATGTCGCTGACGGCATCGCCTGAAACGACTACGAGAAGCACCAGCACCAGCACCGCCAGCACCACCAGCAGTACCTTGGCGTCATCCACCGAGACAGCAACAAGTACAACAATCGCGACATCCGCTGCCCCCGCTCCATCGCACATCGACGAGGTAGGCAACTACACCCTAGTAGGTTGCTGGGGCGAACCAGCCAACGGCCGAGCGCTCAGCCAAAAGACGACATCCGACGACTCCATGACCAACGCCCTCTGTGCCGCATCCTGCTCCGGTTTCCGCTACTTCGCAACGGAGTACAGCCACGAGTGCTACTGCGGGAGCTACCTGTCGTCGTCGTCGGCGGCGGCCCCGCTGTCGGACTGCTCCATGACGTGCTCCGGCGACGACGCGTCATTCTGCGGCGGTCCCAGCCGTCTAGAGCTATTCATGGACCCGGACATCGACGGCGGCGACCCGGAGCAACCCGCCGCAGCGGGGGATTTCGTCTGGCTAGGCTGTCACACCGAGGGCGACGGCGTCAGGGCGCTGAGCGGAGCGGTCAATACGGGCGACGACATGACAAATGAGGCCTGTGCGGATTTCTGCGATGAGTACGAGTACTTTGGCACGGAGTATGGGAGGGAGTGCTACTGCGGTGATGAGCTTGGTAAGGGGGTAGAGGAGGTTGACGATGATGGTGAGTGCGGTGCCCTGTGTGCGGGTGATGTCAAGGAGTTTTGTGGGGGTTCGAATAGGTTGAGTGTGTATAGGAGGATGGAGACGGCAGTTTTGGATATCGTGGGGGATGAAGAGTAGATAGCAGTACATAAAACTGGATGTTCAGGGTATCCAAGAGAGATGATGGTTGATGATGAGTTCCATGATATTCCTTCGTTGCCCATTGCTGTTGTATATCTTTCGAGGAGGAGTCGTTGGTAGAGTGCGGTGCAGTGCAGTGAAGAAGACCCCGCGACACGTAAAACGCGACTCCACCTCATCCTCCATCACTTGTCACTTGACCACTTCACTCCCTCAACCATGGCCGACACACAAGAAGATGACGTAGACGTGAGTTCTTTTTCTTTCAGCCGGGATGGCAGATCCCTTGATGAAAAAGATTCAAGATGGATACAGAAGTATAGGAATGGCTGACTCCCGACCAAACAGCGCCTCAAGGCCGCCCTGTGGTACGCGGTAGGTCAAATCGTCGACGAAGAATCCCTTGAACGGAATCGCAATGCTACGCCTCAATTTATCGGTGCCTTGACTGAACTCGTATGGACACAAATTGGTATTTTTTTTCTACCTTTCTCTCTCTCTCCCCTTTTCTTCCGTCTCCTTTCCTCCCTTCTCCACTTCTTTTCTCTGACCTGGACAGAAAACGTCGCCATCGATCTCGAAACATTTAGCAATCATGCTGGGAGGACGACAGTGACGACAGAAGACGTCATGCTGCTGGCCAGGAAGAATCCCGATCTTCATCAGATCATGGAGGCGTTCATCGATGCCAGAAAGGCTTCTTCTGCTGCTTCTCTGTCGAGGGGCAAAGGCAAGGGCAAGGGGAGGAAGAGGTGATTTTGAAATCTATCACGGAGTATTTATGGGTGTCTTTCTTTTCGTTCTCTTCCTCTTCTTCTTTGTTTTTTTTTCTATTACCTATCCAGGGCTTGGTGCGCCATTTCAAGTTTCAATTCGAAATTTGTTGGCTCACAAATTCATGAATCAAAGGACATGCTCGTATGTCGAGAACCTTCTCAATCCAGCTTGATGCTACTAGAAGCGGCATAATCCCTACGATAAGCCTCCAGGACGTCGAGCGACACGGCGGATCCACCGCACACCTCTACGACGACGTTGCACGCGGCCCACTCCTCGTCCGAGAGGTCCTGGCCCACGCGACGGCGCAGATCCCCATTGTACGCGACGGCGACGGAGGCCCCGCACGCCACCTCGACCATCTGGCGCGTGTCATCGGCGAAGCGCACCGTCGCCACGGCGGCGTCGGCATCGGACAAGGCATGGCTGACGAGGACGGCGCCGCTGCCGCTGCCGCGCTGCAGCCACCATCGCCACGTCTCGTCAGACACGCGCGACGCCCCCAACGACTGGGCGATGGACGTTATCCCCGGGAGACTGACGTGCTCCCCCGCGCGGACGCTGGCGTTGAGCGAGTCAGCGCCCACCGTCTCGACAGCCAGCACGGTGGGCTTCCTTCCCGGGCCCTGTCCCTGCGGGGCGGGCGGCCACTCCGATTCCTCGTCGACGCCCTTCATCAGCCCGTTGACCAGCCCGCCGCCGCCGACGGAGCAGACGACGGCGTGCAGGGGTACGCCGGCCAGCTGCTCGCGCAGCTCGCCCACCACGCTGGCCACCCCGTCCCAGATGTCCGGGTGGTCGAAGGGGGGCACGTACACGCCCGCCGGGTCGTTGGCGAGCAGCTCGCCCCGCAGGTAGGCGTCTGCCTCGCTCCAGACGGAGCCTACCTCGTGCACCGCAGCGCCCAGGGCCAGCAGCTTCTTCTTCATCAGCGGCGAGACGGTTGTGGGCACGGCAATGGTTGCCGGACGGCCGAGCGTGTTTGCGCACGTCGCGCAAGCGAGACCCGCGTTGCCTTCGGAGGAGCAGTAGAAGTGGGCGTCTGGCGTGCCGCGGGCCATGGCGCGAGTCATCAGGTTTCCGACGCCGCGGGACTTGAAGGAGCCGCTTGGCTGGAGGTTATCTAGCTTGAGGTAGATGTTGCTAATCGTATGTTAGTCTTTGTCTCATATCATATCTACTTCATGATGGGTTTTCCTAGGTGAAGGTGAAAGAGGAAGGTGAGAGAAGGGGGGGGGAGAGAGGGAGAGAGGAGGGAAGGAAGAGGGAATTACCATCCGGCCGCGCGAGACACCTCGGGACTGTAGATGCATGGTGTCTTGATCCAGGGAATCTTGACATTGTCGACGACGGGTACAGAGCCCATGATGAGTTTTGGCGGGAGTCTGTCGCGGGGTTATGTGGGGGGAGAGGTGAGGAGGTGGGGGGGGCACACAGAGTTGATTGACACGATAGAAAGGGTGAGGCAAGAATGAAGAGAAGGGGCAGAGAATATGGGAACAGAGCAGCAGACTCCACCGTTGTATATGGTCAAGTTCTTTTTATTAATAGCATGAGCGGGTGAAGAAGTAATGTCAAGGTGAGAGTTCTGCTGTCCTCTCTTTTCCTTTATGCTTCATATCAAAGGGCGCGCCGCCTGAATTGTTGAGAGTGGAGACCGTCGGCAACTCGTAGAAACGCCCGAGACCAAAAAATAAAATAGATACAGCAGCAGTCTATCATCTGACAGGAGGGGTTTGAGAAGGAAAATAAGCCGAGCATATCTCATCATGGCTTCCATACTTTGACCCTTAGGAGACTTGGACCAAACGGAGAAACAAAACCCCATTACATTGTTATAGGGTAATAATTATAGTAGTAGTATCGGGACCAGTATCAGAAGGAACAAGTTGTGATGTGTATCGAACAAGACTTCACTGTTCTCTCGATACCTTGCCCTAGTATTATCACTGCTGCTGCATCCATTTCAAAGAGTCGGTCGTGGTTTGCCCGCTGGCCGTGTTGCTGTATCGGCAGCATATCCTGCTCCGCTCCTCCGGTTCTCTTCACTTGCAGGCATCAACACTTTTCAGCACCACGGCCATCAGAGTGCTTATACGCACGCACGTGTCATATAGACCATGTCCTCATCTAAATATATTCATATTTCTTCCCTTACTAGAGGTTGCAATACTTCCAGCTTTCACTTTAGGTCTCTTGCATTCATCTCTACCAAGACTCCGAGCATGGGAACGAGCATGGGAACCAGAGAGAACAGGAAGGAGACCTCACCGAGGTCCTGCACACCAACTACCAAGAGGACGCCGACCGAGAGATGCAGGATGCTGAGCCTGAGCAGCCCAGGACAGAACGAGGAATGCATGTCCAGTGGCGAACAATATACCGACCAGGAGCAGACTGGACGCCGACAACCCTGCTGCTCCATCACCTGGCCTGTTCGTGACCGATGACTTGGACGAGAATGCCGCGTCTACTGAACCACACCATGACCATGGCCACCAATAGGACGGATCTGTTGGAACCGGAGAGCGTACACCGCCGACGGACACGGTCAGCGAGACCGGCACACCCGCCAGCAGTTCCGTCGAGGTGCCCGCCCCAGACGACCCGCTAGCCCATCCATGGCGTAAGTGTACTCCTTTCCCCCTCAAACCCGTGACCACCACAGCTAACACGTGTCAGGGACGCGTGGTCTGATGGTCAAGCGGAGTCCCCGCGTTCCTCAACGCCGGCAGCAGCGCCCTGTCCTCCCACCAGTGGGGAGACCCAGCCCCGTCGACGACGAACATGGAACATCAAGACCGAGCCCGACGGCGTGCCGCTGGAGATGCCCACGGAGGAAGACTTTGCGCGTCCCGGCGGCCAGAGTCTGGACCGACGTCTCTTCAACCGGGCACGCCATAAGACGATAAACCTGTTCTTGATCCGCGAGAGCCCAGAGCCCGTGACGGCTCCGCCGCCAAAGGTCCCGGACCGGCTAGACTGGTACCGGTACCCTGCCAAGCGGCCGCGGTGGTGGGAGCCGTCGTCCGAGCAGGCCGGGGAGTCGAACGAGGAGCGCCACGTCAAGAGGCGCCGCGAGGCCGTGGACCTGAGCAAGCTGCCCGTGGAGCTGAGAATGCTCATCTTTCGCGAGCTGCTCGCATCATCCACCGGGCCCATCCTACCTCCGCGGCCGGCGGAGGAGGCTGTGCCGGCACAGCGGGCAGACGCCCTCCCGAACCTCCACGTCGCCCTCCTGGTCCTCTGCAGGGCCTTCCATCTGGAGGGCATACGCGTGCTGTGCGGGCCGAACAGGTCCCTCTGCCGCATCCGCGACGCCGCAGCCACCGTCGACGTCGACGCCCTCACGGCGGGGGGACCAGAGCGACGCCGACAACGACTATGCCCAGGGTGGCGGCCGTAATACTATCCCCGCTACTGCCACGCGGCAGCGGCCATCGACGGGCGGCGAACCCAACATCGTACGGGAGCGCAACACGAGTCGCGTGGAAGAGTACGCCCCGCTGATAAGGCACGCCATCGTCGACGCCGACTTCATCCGCGTAGACGACTGCTCCATGCAGACAATGGCCGACGTCATAACCAGCTTCATCCCCCGGACCACACCCTTAAAGGAAGTGGACGCTCTCCTCGTGGACCCGCAGAGGCGCGGGAGGACCAGCGACGCCAACAGGCGGATCGGGCCCGAGCTGTACACCCTGGGTATCCGGATCTACCTGCGTGCTCTGGCGCCATCCGAAGACACCATCCGAAGACGAGGACGAAGATCAAGAAGATGGCCAGGTGCAGAATAACACCTTCGGGTGCACCTTTGAAACATTCTTCGGGAAGGACCAGTGCCCTGTCCTCGATGTCGTGCGCCACCTGCTCTCACAGTTCCTCTTCATCCAGATCACGCCGCAGCAGATCGGCGGCCACGACGGGACCACCGAGATCCCGGTCATTAACCCCACACTGGATGAACCCTGGCACCTTGACCTCAGGCCTTGGAGACTGTGCGTGCGTCGTGACGGCAGGCAGGAGCTGAGACACGGTGGGGGCGAGGAGCACAATGCTTTCTGGCGGGACGACAAGATCATGGCCAAGGGGCGCATCGTGCGCGCGGTCGTGTGTCGGGAGGAATTCAGGCGTCTGCAGGACGAGGTTCAGAAGTGTTGTCGTCGGTACGTGGATGCCTTGAACAGGACGTAGAAAAGCACGGGACGTTGCTTTGGATTGCCCACCCACCCCTCTTTCTTCTCAATCTTTTTTTCCTCTCTTTCTCCCGGAAATTTTCTTCCTCCCTTTCTGGTCAAGGTCAAGTGGCGGTGATGCAAAACCAAGGAGATCGTAAGAAGCAGTGTAATTTAGCAGACCAGATGCCATATCCTTTTCTCTCTCTGACAATACAGACACCATCTATCCTTTCCCTTGATCCCCTGGGTATATCGATACTTTCCGTTATGTTTTTTTTTTTCAAAGTTCTCCTACTCGTCCTTCTCGAGCATCCCCTTAACTGACTGTCGATATCTTGACCTTGCTTACATCGAGTGTGTCCGTGTCGACGAGCACAATCTCCTTTGTATCGGCAAATGACGGCACGGTTATGAGCCGGACGGTCTGTCCCTCCGGTCCGTGAATGGTCCTGGTGCCAAATGCGGGCTGGTTGCCTACAATGTAGAGGTGAGGACACTCGTTGAGGACGAATGGGTCGTCATCCTGGAATGGGTAGCTCCCTGTACTCTCCTGTCAGTTCAGAGGAGGCAAACGTTGACGAAGAAAGGAAGGAAGAGGAACGCACATAGAGTATCCGGCGCCGTGGGAGCGCAGCACCTCCACCGACACATGGCCTCCATCATACCCAGCCTGTCACTACCCTCGACATACTTGAACGCATCATCGACATTCTGCCCACCCGTGGCGAGGATCTTCCAGCCGTCAACGCGCCCATCCCACGGGTTAGTCACGGCGTCCAGCCAGCCGGTCTCGCCGGGCGTCGGCCCGTACTCCCTGGACTGCGGGAACAGGGCCGCGTGGACAGGCTGCTGCGGGTAGCTGGTGTTGGCTGGGTCCTTCTCGCCCGGGAGCAGGGTGACGGGCATGGTGGGGAGCAGCTCGGCGAGGAACTCGTCAAACAGCTGCGACGGGACGGCGTTGTAGGCGCTAGAATCATAGCCGTACTTCTTCGTGGCTGCTGCTGCTCCACCGCCCCTCTTCTTGACGTTGCCGACGCTGTCGCCCGTCAGGGCGTCCACCTCCATCTTGGCCGTGGATATCGAGTTCCCCGCGACGATGAGCCTGCTGATGCGGGAGATGTCCGCCTGGGCCGCGGGACCGAGCGCCTCCCCCAGGAGGAACTCGAGCAGGAGATTCAGCTCGAGGGAGTAAGAGGCGTCGGAGCCGGAGAACAACAGGCCCGACACGATGGCCACCTTGTTTCCGCCCCCCCCACCGTTCGATATGCCCATTTCCTCGTCCTCGTCCTCCTTTTTGTCGGCACGACGTTCCGGCTGCGGCGGCAGGTCCGGAACCTTGATGTCGATCACCTCCAGCTCCCCGTTCGTATTCTCCGTGCCCATGACGGCAATGATGCACCCCGTGGTGAGGTTCGTCGTCTTGAGCAGCTCGCCCGCCAGCCTGACCCGCCCGGAATCATCCTCCAGCATGATCTCCCTGTCCTTCGGGTCGGCAAAGTACTTGTCCGGCAGCACGGGCGCGGATATCCACCTGTCCTTGGACACGTCCTCGAGGATGTCGGGCTTGAGCGGCATGGCCATGAAGACCGTGCCCACCACCCAGCACAGCTCCCCCTGCTTTACATCCAGCACGCGGTCCACCCGCTTGGCCTCCTCGCCGGCAATCGTCGTGCCCGCCCAGGCTGCCGACGCCACAGCCTCCACCGCCGGCCTGATCTTGGTCAGTCGCAGGAAGTACATGTCACCGTACTGCTGCTTGTACGAGCGCTGCTTGTCGAGAGTGTAGGTCTGCAGCGATTGGTATTCGGATTTCGTCCGGATCTGAACCTGGTGTGCCGAGTCGCTGCTCCACCCAAACCAAACGTCGTTCTTAGCAAGGGAGAGGGAGGGGAGGGGAACGGGGATGTGTGTGTGTGTGTGTGTGTGTACGTACGATGGTTCCCGTAAAAGACTGTCTGATACATTATCCATGACGGGCTTGGTTTCGAATTAGCGCAGAAGAAGTTGCAGAGAGAGAGGAAAAGGACAAAGGTAGAGAAAAGAAGGTTGATTGGGTTGGTCGTAAGGGCAACTGGTCGTGAAAGACTGCAAGTCGGTCGACGCGTGACGCGCTCCGTGTAAAGTATCTGGACCCAGGGTCCAGAAGTGGAAATTTTGCTTACCCGGCGGGCCATGCTACTCATCGCGGGGTCGGAGGGGTATTTTTTTCTCTACTTCTTGACTTTGCAGGCCAAGAAAATACAAGAGAAAAGGTCGTCACTGTTCACTGCTACCTTTAATATCATTCATTGCCGTATACACATATATATTTCCCGACCTCACTCCTTCGAAACCGACACATCCCAGTCTTGAGAATCAATATTGCCTACCATGGCCCCGGCACCAACCATTGAGGTCCGGGACCTTTCGTACAGATTCCCCGACTACTCGACCGGCGTGCGCAACATCAGCCTCGACCTCCCGGCCCGGTCGCGCACGCTGCTCATCGGGGCCAACGGTGCCGGAAAGACGACGCTACTCCGCCTCCTGGCGGGCAAGCGCCTGGCGCCGGGCGGCACCATCCTGGTGGGCGGCGCCGACCCGTTCACGCAGGGGCTGGAGGGCGTGACGTACCTGGGACTGGAGTGGGTTCTTAACCCCATCGTCCGGACCGACATTGGCGTGCGCGAACTCCTGGCCTCGGTTGGCGGGGACGCCTACCCCGACAGGCGCGACGAGCTGGTCCACATGCTCGACGTCGATGTCAATTGGCGCATGCACGCCGTCTCGGACGGCGAGCGCCGCCGCGTCCAGCTGGCCATGGGCCTCGTCAGGCCCTGGACCGTCCTCCTCCTCGACGAGATCACCGTCGACCTCGACGTCCTTAGCCGCGCAGAGTTCCTCGCCTGGCTAAAGGCCGAGACCGAGCGCCGCGAGTGCACTATCGTCTACGCCACCCACATCCTCGACAATCTCGCCGGCTGGCCTACACACCTCGTTCACATGCACCTGGGCTCCGTCAAGCAGTGGGACAGGGCCGACAAGATCCTCGCCGAGGTCGACCCCACCGTGGCCGCCACGGGGAACAGCCGCCTCGGCGAACTCGTCCTCAGCTGGCTGCGCGATGACATCAGGCAGAGGGGGCCGCGGAGTCATGCCAAGATTAAGCCCGAGGGCAAGACCTACGGATTTGGCGGTATCCAGGTTGGCGGATATGGCGACGAATCCAAGGCCAAGCCGTCGTAGAGTGGCAAAGCCATTGCTGTTACCTTTCCTTTGTCTTTTCGATTCTTTTTAGCGGCCTCAACACTGCGTTTGGCTAGACCGGGCTAGCATGAAGAGGTTCTCAACGACATTCATGGATATATGCGTTTTATCAACCTCCTCCTCCTCCTTCTCCCTGTTTATATGGTGAATATAGTGGGCTTTGTTTTTCTTGATTTCAGGGTATACATCCTCCTTCTTCTTTCCAGAAAACCCAACCTTCTTACTCAACACACACCGGCCTCGGGAGCCGGTCAGCTTCCAACACGATTAGACCTCGTGCCTCCAAAAAACTGCAGGTCAGAATCTATAGTCAAAGCACGTCTCATTGTGAGACTTGAGATGACCCTCTTCTTCCTTCCATGGTATTCTTCAACACCGTCATTGTACATTTGAGAAGCTCAGCGATACCTGGGAGCCCCTCCTCGGAAAGACCGTTCAGCACGCCTATGCGGTAATCGGACCACGAGAGCGTAATGCCGCCTGAGCTCGCTAGCCTGGTCAGACTAGCTTGCGTTACAGGGCCGGCATGCCGTGTCCTCAGGGACACTCTGTTAGCCAACGCTTCGTCTTCAGCCTCGCGCACCCGTTTGATGCTCTGGTGGCAAATGACAGGCGAGTACGACAGGCCAAAGAGGGATGCTAGCGCAAAGGTCCGTTCAACAGAAGTCACATACGCAGTCAGCGCATCCACCGTTGGTCGAGGTATCAGGCACCCGTGTGCGTTTGACTCGGCCACACTGAATGCGCGAGACCGCCACAGACAGTTGCAGATATCCATCAGGAAGCCATTGTAGAGGTTGACGTATACTCGGTCATATGTCTGGGTGTCTATCTGTGGCTTTTTGTTCGATTGGGCCCGGGTGGCCATGGCTGCCTCGAATCCCCTCTTGTAGCGGGCAAGGACATAGCACAGGCGTGAGACTGTGGCCAGGCTGTTGCTAAAAAAGAGGGTGTAGATGAGAGATGCTGGCGGTAGCTCTATCCTGATGAAGTTCATCAATCTTTCGTCTGTGACAAGGCGAACAAACTGCTCGTAAAATGCGAGCACAGCAGATGAAGATTCTACCGATGGGTGAGCCTGGCAGAGAGTGAGGGCGACATTATTGACATGGCGTACCAGGGCGCCTACTATGCTACTGGCGTCATGAGGGACCGTTTCGCCTGCTTGCAGAAGCCCAGTCCAGTAGTGGAGGAGATTTGTATAGAGTATAATGAAGTCGCGGTTGAACTTTGTGCTGTAGGCTGACATGGCAGTCTCGAAAGGTTGGAACAAGTGCTGGTACAGCTCTGGCATGTGCGTTAGTCGAGCCATCAGGCTACTCTGGACGGTACTCACTCACCGCCAAAATTCTGGAGGGGAGTGTATGCTAGGATATCAAAGATAACACCAGCGCGTCCACTCCCATCCCATAGCTCAAAGAAGCGTGCAAAGAAGTTGAGTAGCACGGGTGGCAGCACCTGGAAGTTGGTCAGTGTATGTCATTGATCGGGATGTAAACTGTCCTCCGAATCGACAAACCTTGGTCCGTACAACAAAATCCCCGACTACATCGAGAAGCTCCCACAGCGTATCCTCATCTGCACTTCCGTCAATGACATCGTGGAGGACTGCATACAGCCAGTTAGCAATTCTCCGGTAGGCTTCGTCGCTTGGTCGCAGCAGTAAAAGCTTCTGCAGAACAGGATCCGCCAGGACTGCAACAAGTTGATTTGGTGGTTCCAATTTCTCCAGGCTCTTTGCTAGGCTGGTAGCATTCTCGACTTCTTCCAGAGTGACCGAAGTCTACATATCTCAGTCAGTCAAAACTTCGTGGGGGGCAAGTGGGCAGTAGAAAAACTAGCCTCGTTTGCGTGAGATGTCTGCACGAGAGGCACCACTTTGTTCCTTTTCGAGCGGTTTAGCGGTCTGTTTACACGGAAGCCATCTCGCGGCCGGGACACGATGTCCTGTGTCTGCTGTATGTACGCATCCTGGATCTCGTCCAGGCGTGAGCGCCACGCAGGGTCGGGGTGCTGGGAGGACGGTCAGCCAGGTCCATGTCTAAACCAAGACCAATAATATGCTGCATACTTTGAAGGCAGATGCCTTCCCACGAACTGCCTCTCCTACGATAATCTCGGGGTAGTAGTCTTTGAAGACGCGTAATAAGCCAACGAGGCAGGGGTCGTTGCCCGTCTGTCTCGAGAGATTCAAGCTGGGTATGGCGTAAGTACTGAGAGCGGCATAATCAACACGGAGATGGAAGGAAGGAACTCACAGCGCCTGTATACGAAACGGTTTCACGTGCCTTCGTCGCGTGATGAGAGCGAGTAAATGGCTGAGCTGAGGCCTAAAGAAAACTGTCAGTCTTAAGATGATACTGCTTCGACGAGCCCTGGGATACGGAGTGTTCTCACCGTGTAGCAGCCGTGTCCAGCAGGGAAAAGAGGACGGGGTACGCTTGTGATAGAACACCGGGCGACTCAAGAGAGTGGTAAACGAGGATCAGCCACCTGATGAGGGCAGCCTGAATATTTAGAGAAGCCTTGAGGCGGCCATGGCCCAGGCAAGCAACAACGCGGACGACGAGGTCACGCGAGACGCGGGTGGCGGGGTAGAGATTCTTGACAATGGCACTCAGACTTGCCTGATCGAGAAAGTTGGACGAGGTAACGAGGTCGATGAGGTCAGAGAGTGCATCTGGGAGGAGGCCGTAATCATAGGCGGCTGTTGTGAGATTGGCGACGGTAGGTTTGATGTTTGTAGAGCGGGCCTTGGGGGGCAGCTTGGCTGCGTGGACAACATCTTGGATGAGGGTGTCGATGTCGGGAGCCATGGTGACGATGACGGCGGCGACGACGACGTCATCGAAGGACAGGCCCTATGTGCCCGCCTGCCTTACGAGGGGAAGAATGACGACTGGCAGTCGAGGCCCTGGCCGGTGGTCTGAAATCAAACGAGAGGCAGCTGCAGCGGCCTAATGTGGGACGCGTCGAAGGAAGTCAAGATCTGGCACGCGGGGAGACGAGAGACGCGTCGAGGTACCGTAGGCGATGTATCTATCTGGCTGCTGGGGCGGAGGCTGATGGAGGGGCACTGCAGCAGTGGTTGTTGGCTTGGCGGGCGGGCTAGCAATAGTACTCCGTAATAGTAGTAATACTATCTGTAGTGATGATACTAATCTGTACAGATTATACTATTACTAGTAAGTAGCAATACCGTACTGCCTTAGTACAGTACTAATAGCGTAGTACTCGTACTCGCAGTGCTATGGAGTATTACTATGTACGTACTGGCACCCACGGTAATCGTAGGCTTGGTGGTCCCTGGGTCATGATATGGCATCCACAGGCTAGAGGTCCGAGACTGGGCCGGTGCGCCTTCCTAGTGGTAACGTGGGGGGAGTCCAGAAGAAATAAAAAGAAAGGAACTGTAGGAGAGGGGAAAGAAGGAGCGAGGGGGGGGGGGGCATTGAGGGGCGTGCAATATAGTGGCAGGGCAGGTACGGTGGCTGTGGGGCAGGACCAACGCCTGGAAGTAAACGCCAATGCCGAGCTTGTTAGGTATTATATTGGGTACGAGGGTAACACTCCTCTGCCCGAAATAATACTTCGAAGGCTGCAGCACGTCTGGAGAAACAAAGAGGGGAGATATTACAGAGTACATGCATGTACGAGCGCAGCTGTCGGTGTCTTTCCAGCTGTACGATGGTCAAGCTACTAACTGGCAGTAGTAATACGTCGTCGTACCGTATCCATGTTTCAACTTGGGTGGAACTTCCGCAGTCTTAGACACTTGCTTCCTGCAATCCCCAACAGCCTGCAATTGCTACAGCTTACGGAGTAATAATACCAATAAAGGAATATTAATATCTACGAGACCGCACTAGTTCATTGAAAAGAGGTTCTTCTTTTACAAGACAGGGGTGAGTGCCATCATTACTATTACTCGTAGTAATACTCCGTAGTAGTAGTCTGTATTACAGTACTACGACGTATTAATGAAAATGATTTGTTCCAAAGGGCCAGTCGTCCTCTATCGTACGAGTATGGGAGACTTGCGTAGTGCACGGGTACAGTAGTAAATCCGGTAGACAGGTTTTGCAGAATTCGACCACAGCTATAACACGTAGTGTTATTACTACTTAGACTTGAACATATTTCTACGAGTATTAGTATATAGCTCATACCATGGAAATAGAATGTGCTCTCTACCTGCATGTTTTTATCCCTATTTCATGGTTTCTTGGAGATTCAGGTACACGCATCGTTTCTTCTTCTTCTTCTCTCTTCTCTCTGAGTACTTTCTCTTTGTCTTTCCACTCCATTCCACAGTTTTCCCTCTTTTCAATAGGGTCATCGTGCTAGAGCGCAGCTACCAACTCCCACTATCTCGCATTAATTGGGAAGGAGCGACTGTGCTAATAGGGAGCTTGGATTTCGTAGACGGAAAGAGCGTCCGTGGCATGCCCCAGTCATCTTTCCTCTTGCAGCATTACGCCTCTTTTCTTCACTCACTTTATGGTTCGTGTCCTGCGCTGGTGGTAGGCATTCCAACCTCCTTCAGCCCCTCATGGCCATCACCATATCATACTCGATGCTACCGACTTCTGCCGTACCATCGTCTGCTAATGTCTCATACATCGTCGTATGCTTACTTGTATTCGGAGCCCCAAAACGTCGTTTAGTCCTTATTGGGCTATCCGCAGCTTTTAGCCATCATTCTCCAGTGGCATGTTCCGTTTTACCCCTCAGTCACCGGCCAATACTCCCGGGATCCGGGCAGTGGCAAGTACGAGAACTCATTATGCTGCCACTGCTCGTCGGTTTGACCGCAGTACTACCATCTACCTCGACTTCCTGCACAGGCGCATCGGCGGTTCTTGTGTGTGTTTGTGAGAGTGAGTGAGTGTGTATGCATCTTTCTTTGGTGTTGGAAGTAACTGCTGACCCGAATGGACGTGGTAAGACGTTATCGCCACCGCCATGCCTCGAGGGTCTGGTCACCACCCGGTCATCCCTTTATCCTTCGTCTTTGATGAGAGTGATGCTTCTCGGAGAGTACCTGACGACATTGCTCGTCCCTGTATCTGCCAGCCCCCATGATATGGTACCGCCACATGTTTCATCTCGGATTCGCCGCCTCGGCTGGGCCAGATGGACTTTAACGCTGCTCCACGGACGCCTGCGAGTTCACACTTGGCTTTCTTCCTCTCGAGCTTGTACGCTGTACTCTTACTGCCGGGGTTCTGGGATCACTGGTAACACCGCGGAGTAATAATACTACATGGGCGAGTAGCATGGAGACCAGCAGTAATCCGTGCTGGTCTTGAATAGTACATGCTAGGAGTAGCTTTCCCATCCTACCCCTCCTGATACCTGAGACAAGGTATCGCGCATAGTACCCCGGCCCAGACTAGGTTTCGTCCCATGACCGTTGGTGTGAACCAAGCCAACAACAGACGACTGTCAGATTCCTTGGGTCCAGCCGTCAGGCATCAGCTCACTTCACCTCTGGAATCCATAGAGAGCAATGGGAAATCGGGCCCTCTTAGCCAAGAGAGAGGGAGAGAAAGAGGAAAGTATAATCTTCACCCCGATCACTAGCAACAAGGGCCCATCATTCGGAATCATCTACTCATCATGGCCATGGGTATCAAGCACCAAGTTCAAACAGTTCCAACACACCAACGATCCAGCTGGTACTGGCACGCACCATTTCTAAGAGGGTTAGGTATCTCTGAGCTCTGGGCTCTGGGCTCTGGGCTCTGGATTCTCCGCTTACAAGCCCTTGTTTTTTTCTTCCTTTTTTCCCCTTTCTTTTCTTTTCTTTTTGGCCGACTAAAGTCATAATTATTACGATTTGCTGTCTGACCGTGCGTCCGGTACCCACATGTCGCAGGGTCCGCCTTCAGCAGGCGTACTCTCTTCTACGAATACAATGGTGGTGTATCTGGAGTATTACTGAAGCTTGACCATACAGCTAGTCCCGCTTGCGTCGTGAATCGTACTATAGCTCCAACGTCAAGGTCCGACGTCAAAGCCATTTTAGCTGGCCCCGTTTTGACAAAATACGGATACACTCCCATGGATCCGTGGAGATTAATCACGCCTAGGAATCCCGGTGAACCCTTCGAACCCCACCTTGGGCCTCCCCCAGCATGGCCCAGCTTGGCCCAGCGTGGTGAGATAGGTGCTTGGGAGGGCTGCAGCCAGCATTAAAATGTAAGCCCTGTCTTGCGATTGATCCCCTGTGCTTCTGTGCGCATTGCTCGGGACTTAGTGTGGGCCCCCGGTTGAGAGCATGACAATTGTCAATACTCCATGTACAGAGAGTGTCACTCGTACGGAGGTGCTATTACTCGTACGAGTACCTTGCTCCCGCGACTGCGCAGTCGACGGCTACAAGTAATGCTTGATGCTTGTACTCGGCACTCGCACGGTCTACTCGTGTGTACAGCTAGCGGCCAGCACCGAGCAGTCCGTACTACTGCTCTGTCGGCCTTCACGAGAGACTGTACAAGACGCAAGAGAAACCAGAGACACATGGGACACTAACAAGGGAAGAGAAGGGGAACGAAGAGAACAAAGAGGCTGCCTTAGTCGAGACGGCCTCCCCAACGAGGTACGACGTAGTAGTGGGCTCCACACTCTCTGCTTCTCGCGGCTACGGAGTTCTCTCCATGGTCCATAGGATCGTTAATCATATACCGCGGCCGCCGCTGCAACCCTGGCCAACTGCCATTCTGCCCTACCCTGATATTATTGCCTTGCTTATTTTTTCTTGCATGGTCAGGGCGCACGGCTGTTGTCTCTTGTCTTCCATATCGACGGTCCTGCAAGCGGCCGCTCCCCATCCGCCATCCCGGCGCGCTACGACTAACAAAAATAAAGTACATCAAGACAGCAGCTCAAAACTGCTGTCGTCTCTAGATCCGTTCCAAGGATACCACGACCCTTCCTCGGCAGTCAGTCGCGTGCCTTTCCCTCTTGTCCTCATCCGCGGCTGCTGCCCCCGTTTCAAGGGGACTCGAAAAAAGGGTACAAGACGGCCAGGACAGGCCAGTCAATGGCGACAACAGACAAAAAGTGCACACTCCCATTCCCCGAGCGCTCGAGCTGAGAGCCGGGTGCCCCCCATGTGGCTTCGACGACGATGGATGAAGGACAGGATCAGATGTCGGAAGCGGGACTGCGACCTTCAGCCGGTGTATCGGCAACCTTGCTGTGGGACCGTCAGAACTGCGTGCCTCTAAGCCGATGCCTGTCTGAGGATGGCATGATTCTGCTCCTCACCCCCGTGGTGACACCTCCTGCATCGACGACAGCAGCTAGCGGTGTGGCCATCGACCCATTTGAACCGCTCGGTCGGGCCCTGTCGCAGAGGTATCCCATGGTCCGCCACGTCCCTTACACCAAGAATGGGGGCATCACAGGAGCCCACCTAGCATTCATCCGGAAAGCCGACGTCATCTTATTCGTCGTAACCGGATTCCCGACAGCCGGCGAGGAGACGTCGCAGCCCGACCTTGCCGACGCAGTCAACGGAGCCCGTGACCCCCAGCCGCTCATCGTTGTGCTCTGCTGCGATGTCGAGGTGCCCAGGATACGAGAGTTTGACTTCCAGACAGTTGTGCAGACGATAGGTTTTGACGTGTGCAGTCTACAGGCCATCTCCGGCCTATTACTCGATGGTCAAAGCGGGAAGAGCAGCGACAGCGGCAGCGGCCGCGGTGGCTCGGGGGAACACCAGTCTACGACGACACCGACAGGGCAGCAGTGGCCCATTCGGCCATTCGACTACGACCTCGACCTCGAGGAGCTTCACAGCCTCTGGACGGAAAATACCCCTCGGAAGTGGCACCTGGACATGGCGACATTGGGTTCGCTGCTCCGGCGAGATGGCTACGCTATGCACCACGTCGTGCGGGATCCCCTGTCGGGCGGCGTGATCGGCTTCTGCGCCACATACGCGACTTTTGCCAACGGCAAGGGGGAGAAGCTTATCGGGTCGATGGCGGCGGTGATTGTCAAGGCCGAATTCAGGAGAAAGGGAGTCGGCCGGGCTCTCCACGATGCGGGGCTGGGCAGCCTGACACGGATCCGAGGCATGCACCGCGTGCAACTGGGGACCACGTTCCCACGGCTTCTCTACGGAATACCAGCCGACCACCCGAACCTGGCGTGGTTCCAGTCGCGCGGGTGGACTCTAGATCAGCAAGGGCCGGGCATGGGGCGGCCCATGGCCGACTGGCTGCTTCGGTTCGCCGATACACCCCCACCGATGGAGCTGGCCTCTGCGGGCTTGAGTTTTCGGTGGTGCGAGGTCGGCGACTCGGCCATGGTCCTCGACATGGCGGCTCGCGAATCGGAGAGGAAGAATACGTTTGGCTGCTGGTACGACCAATACGCCCGGGCACTGGACGGAGACTCGATGGGTGACATCGTTGTCGGCTTCGAGGGCACGACCATGGTAGCGTCGGCCATCACTTACATTCCCAGCCGGGGTGGACCGATGTCCCACGACATACCCTGGGCGGCGTCTATCGGCCCCGACATTGGTGGTATATCGTGCATCTGTATAAAGGGTGAGACGCGGACCTATCCCCTATCCCTCTCCGCATATGGTATCTACCAGACAGGCCCCCCCCCGTTTTGCTAACTATGCGGTTCCCACTCCCCAGACGACGACCCAGAAGTGGTCAACCGCCGCGATACAATCATGGCGCGTCTCTTATTCTCATGCTGCAAGTCTCTGCACACTCTAGGAATGGCAGGTGCATTTGTAGACGGGGTCAAGTATAGTGAGAGCGGGGTGGAACAGCTAGGTGAGTTCTCCCTACCCGTTGGGAAGATTGGTTACAATTCTTCCCCCCGCCCCTTTGATATCGGTGATTGATGAACGACTGATGAGCCTATGACGGCTTACACCCCTGCAGGATTCCAACGTTGGGCACACTACCGAGAATCGTGGCGTCGCATATAATGCGAAGATGTTACATGCCCAAGGATAACCGACTCCTTGACTCCGTATGCAAAGAAAACAGGGAAACGAGAAAGAAAGTGTGCACCGAGAAAAAAGAAAAAGAAAAGAAAAACAGTGCGGGAAACGTGGAGATCATATCAATGGCCGGGAAGGACAAGGAACGATTTCATACGCCGTTGGCCACTTCAAACCCCTGCCAGTCCTACTCTCTACCTCTCACCCGACGCGATGACCTCTTTCTCTTGCCCGTCCCGGCAAGACGCAAACAAAGGGACAGTGTGTGGGTTGCTATGCCGTCCCAGGTTTTCTTTTTTTTTTTCTGTTCGTTTCTTTTTTTTTTTCGCCCGCCCTCCCAATTCTAGTCTTGGCTTGCCTGCCGGATAAGCTGGATGATCTACCTCGGGACATTGGCCGATCTGCCCAGACCTTGATCTAATTCTTTCTTCCTATTTGTCTTAGAGGCTGCACAGATGTGGCCGGGCGGAGCCAGGGGCCAAAGAGCTCTAGAGTTGGCCGGTCACGTACATTCGAATGCATGGTGCAATGTGCAATACGTGCGTCTGGAGCACGCACATGTAATACACCAACAGCAAAGTTGGGAGAGCGAAACGGCTATATGGATATATGGATATACAATTACCAAAAAAAAAGCAAATATTGTACGTGGTGGTAGAAGAAGAAGAAGAAAGTACTCTGTAAACTCCAAACAGGTTGTCACCCTATTCCGCCTCGGCCATCTTGTTCATCTTTTTTTTTTCATCTTTTTTTTTCTTTTCTTCTCTCTTCTTTCTTTTCCTACTCATAAATTCGGTTCCTGCCTTGTGCTCTCCAGAGTAGGATATATGTGAAGAGTAGGAAGAGGGAGGAAGGATACTCCATGTTTGAGTACGCTCTGGTAGTTTATTCTTATACCAGTGAAATCTCACTAGAGATGGTTGTATCAATTGCGAGTTATGAGGCAAGGAGGAGGCTTCACCATACGTAGACCCTCTCTTCATCCATGGTGTCATGTTAATCGACTTTCTTTTCCTTTCTCAACAGCTCAAGTTCTACTATTGTGAATATACAATATGCATGTTATGTGAACGCGTGGCACCCGAGATTGTATGACTAAGCAGCCAGAGAGGGCGGCTGCTGCCACCCTCACACCTGTAGATAACCTCAGATTTAAATCCTTCCCCTTCAATCAAGCGAGCTTGAAGACATGCCCACTCATCGGCCCAGGACGTACCAGTAGGCAGACACCATCGTATTCACGTCTACGGGTCACCATGTGTTGTCGCCTAGCAGGAAGCCCACAAGAGGGTATATCGGATATCGAGCAAGTGGTCGTTGGGGGGGGGGGTAGGGTAAAAGTGTATAGCAGGAGGGCATTGATGAGATTACTGACATGGTATCGATAGTGTGAGGGTCACACATTATTTTCCATGATATCTGTCATGTTCAGACTTGCTTTGAAACGACAAAAAGGAGAAGAAGAAGAAGAAGAAGAATTTTCTTCTCCTTTCCCAAGTAATAGCTCTCAAGAACTTTTCATATAAAATAAATGTAGAGAGGGAAGAGGTTGAGGAAAAGAACCAAAACAGAAAAGATATCATAAAACTCGTAGCCTTCTTATTGTAGTCATGTTCCGGGAGGATTTTTTTTTCTTAGAGAAAAAGAAAGAAAGAAAGGATGCAACTATGCCCATTTGGAAAAGTCGACCGAATCACTGAGTCCATCAGCTTGGGCAGTTATCTCGGTATCGCTCGTCCCCGTCGGGCCGGATAGCATCGACGACCGATGGGACGTTTGCTCGCTGGTGCTGCTGGTGAAGAAGGTGGCCACGCTCGTTCGTCGGAGGCTGGTGAAGCTGTCGCGCATGCTGCTTCCCGGTCTGGAGGCGTCGCTGGACGACAGTTGTGGATGCTGCGCGGTGCCGGTACTAGCGGTAGCTTGGGATGCGGGGAGCTGCTGGGGTTGTACCAGCTGGGGTTGATGCTGCTGGGGTGCGGTGGGTGCGGAGGCACCGGTGGACAGGGTGTGAGGGTGGGAAGTGTGGGAGGGGTGAGGAGGGGGAGGACCGTGTCTCTCGCGGAGTCGCCTGATCTCCCGGAGACGGCTCCTCCACGCGCTGACGTACTCTCCGCCCGAACGGTTCTGCCACACGAGGGAGAAGACGGAGGCGTTGAGGGCCACCAGGCGGATGAAGTCCGGTAGAGCCTTGAGTGAGACCATCTTGATCTCGGACGCCGGGCTGATCCGTGGGAAGCCGGGCTTGCTCATGACCTGGACGCGGTAGAACGGCTGGCCGTGCTGCTTCTGCCGCTTGCCGTCCTGGGTGCCGGCCTGGGTCTGAGCCCGGGTCTGAGCCTGGGCCTCGCGCGTGGCCATGAACGACGCTCGGGACGCCGGCGTGATGACGATGTTGACGTAGTTGAACTGGCTGGGAAACGTGTCGAAGCGGAAGGGCAGGCCCGAGTCGTTGAAGATGATGTTAACGTAATCGTTGCCGATGTGGCGCTTCTTGTTGGTCACCTGCGGGTCAAACTCGAGGTTGGTGGGCATCTGCGTCGTGACGTGGAACATGATCTCGGTCAGCCGGTCGCGCCAGCAGAAGGCGTAGGGCCCGTCAATGTCCATCTCTCGGTCCAGGCCCTGCGTGTTGAATGTCGCCCCCTTGAGCCTGGTCAGCGTGCCGAGGTTGTTGAGGAACTCGACGTAGTCGCTGCTCCCCGACACATTGGCCAGTATCTCCGTCTCCTCCGTCTGCCCCTCGCCGATGTAGATGACGCCCACCTTGTGCCCGTCCACCGTCGGGGTGAGGTCAATCACCCGCAGCGTCCGGTCCGTCGCCTCGTCGTCGGGGAGCGGCACCGGTCGAGACGACACGCTGCTGTCGCCCGAGTACGACGGCTGCGGCAGTGACGCCATCAGCTGCACCATCAGGTGGCTTGGCAGGATCGTGTTGTCCGACTCCTGCCCGTCGCGGCCCATGTCCGCGGGATTCTTGGCGTGGTGCAGCGGCCGCGGCAGGAGGTACTCGTGCACCATGTACGACGATGTCCCCGACGGCTGCCGCTTGGTGATCTGCGCCCATCCCGTCCGCACGGACTGCTTGATGCTGATGATGCTGTTGCCTACCACCCACCGCCGCGTCGCCATCTCCCCGAACCGCTCCTCGTTGAACGTGGGATCCTCCTTGGACTCGTCCACGTCGGCGTACGTCGTGCGCTGCATGAAGTCGAGCGCGATCAGCGCCTGCTCCTCTAGCACGTTGCCGGAGCTGTCCGTGTCGGCAAACAGTTTCTTGGTCACGGTGCCCACGTGCGTCGCTCGGTCAGGCAGCTTCAGCGCCAGGAACCAGAAGAAGATGACCTGGTAGGTCAGCGTGTACACGTACTGCGGCAGGTCATCCGACGCGTTGGGGTGCGTAGCGCCAGGGTCCGTGCCGTCGCCGCCAGCCGACGGAGCCGACGGCCCCTCGCTCGCGTAGCTGGCCCGGTTCGACTGCCGCTTGTCCCGCGCATACTCGAGGTACCGGAAGCAGATGCCAAAGACGGTGCGGTACTCGTCATCGCGGAAGTTGACGTACACGTCACGCAGCCGGCTGAGCGACGCGAGGAACTCGAGGATGTGGATCGCCACATCCGGCTGCGTGATGATAGCCGCCATCTGGTTCAGCATCTGGCCCAGCGACTTGCTCGCAGACAATGGCAGCTCGTGGCAGCAGATGGTCAGCGCGTGGATGCAGCACGGAGCCGTGCGCACCCACGCCCTGATGCCGTACACGTACGTCTTGACGATGTCGTCCTCGTCGCCCTTCTGGAAGTGCTCGTGGTAGCTCAGGATCATGGTCAGGCTGTGGAACAGGCAGATGGCCACATCTGCGCGTCGGAGACCGCACGCGTTCGGCGGCTCGTGGAAGCTGTTGGTCTGCACGTGCTCGCAGATGAGCTTCCGCAGGTCCTGGATCTGCTTGATGGCCCCCTTGAAGACGCCATGGTTGCTGAGCTGCGACGGCAGATGGACCAGCACAAAGCTGTATATCTCCCAATCACTGCCCTTCAGGATGCTGAGCACGGCCTCCAGCCACGAATGCATGTTGAGAGAAAACACTAGGCCGAAAGTACTGCTCTCTTCCTCTTCGTCCGCTTCTTCTTCATCTTCGTCGTCGTCGTCGTCCCCCTCTCTTCCGTCTTCTCCCTGGCCTTCCTCCGGATCCTCGCTCTCAGTCGCTCCTCCTTGGTCAGGAGCTTCAAACGATGACAGCACCGGGCTGGTCAGGGTCGGGACGTTGGGCGGCAGAGCGTCTGGGTCCGGAAGCTTCCACAACTGATCGTAATGGGCGGTAGGGAGGCCCTTAGATCCGGATCCACTAGGTACTCGTCCGCTGAGCGCCTTCTCGGACCCCTGATTGTGGCTGACGGAGAGACCCCGTGTTGGTCGCGCGAGATTCCCATGATCGCCGCGCGACATCCGGGCCGCATCTTCGGCCTGCTTCTTGGCCAGTGAGTCGTCGGTGCGGAGGAGGGTGGGGGCCACATAGTTGGTCTCTAGCTCCCGGGTGACGAAGATCATGTTGGCCCAGTCTGCGCGCAGGCGGAACAGCAGCTTCATGGCCGTCAGGCGGGCATCCATCTCACAGTGGCTCAGACGGGCAATGTAGACAAGCGCGTCGAAAAGCTTGGCGCCCTTGGCGCCATCCTGGTTCATTACTTGAACAAACATCTTGACGAACCCTCGGCTGACCACATTGGAGGGCGACTGAGAGCTCCCTGCCTGTGGCTTTTCGCCGTTCCGGCCCGGCGACGCGGTCGCCGCCCCGGACAGGATACCGGGGGACATTGGCGCCCTCAGGGCGTTGTTGTCGACTATACCCCGTAATGCGGTGACGATGTGCTCGAAGAGCTCCATGTCGCACGACGTCACGACCGACACCATCAGGGACATGACGGCGTCGAGGACCGGCACGTCCGTCTCCTCGACGATGTCCTTCAGGATGTTCCTGGCAAGCCTCGGGATTGAATCCTGCTCAGAATCGTCCGAGATGAGATCCAAGATCTCGTACGCGTCCATTATCGTGCGCAGAGCCTGGAGCCTTGTCTCTGAAGATCGATTGCGGTTGCTAAAGAAGCCGTCGAGCACCAGCGTGAGATTCTTTTCCCACTCGATGTCGGATGGCGAGCAGCTCCTAAACTCTTGGAAGTACTCGAGCACGGTGCGGGCGGCCGAGTCTGGTAGTAGATGATAGACATCCACGAATAGCTTGATGACTGTCCGACGGGGCACGAATGTGGCCGTCTTGTGGTTGGCGACGATGGTCTCTAGGCGGCTTATAAGCTGGCGAACCTCTTTTCCTATCGGGTCGTCGGATGTCCCGTTATCGTAGAAGCGTGCAGGTTGGCTGTCGGTGTATCGGCCAAGCTTGGCGGCGCAGTCGGCGGCCACCTGCAGCATTATGGACCAGTCTTCGTCAATGATGAGACGGTGCATCTGGCCATTCTGATCGCAGAACAGGTAGTTTATCATGCGGAGGATGGCCACGTAGACTCGGGTGGACGAGCTGGCCTTGACAGCTGTACGCAGGCCATCGGCCAGAAGCGCAAAGGGCACAGGGGGGTAGCCCTTCTCGGCTGTCTTGGACAGCAGCTTCTGCAGAACCGCCAAGGAGCTCCTGATTTCTCTCCCCAAGTCTTTTTCCTTCTCCGGGTCCGTCAGCAGACCACGCAAAACATCGAGCAGTATGCGGACGGTGGCCTGGCCATTGTGCGACCTGAAGAAGTTGGCCAGGGTATGCCAGGACTCCTTCTGGAGGCTGGGGACGAGGCAGAATATGGAGCTCAGCACATGGATACAGCCCTTGAGCTTGTCGTTGGGTATGGTGCCAAAGGTGACGAGGGCGTCGAGCACAGAGATGCAGCATCTCAGGTCCTCCTCAACGCTGGTGCTCATGCAGATGTTCAGCAGTCCATCGATGAGGCCAGCAAGGGAGACGTCGTCGACGCACTTGAAGCTGAACTTGAGGATGTCGATGAGAAAGGTGAAGAGTTGGGTAAAGTTCTTCTCCTCGCCCAGGACGACAGTCTTAGTCTTGGTAGAGCCCTTAGATCCCTTAGCGGTGGAGGCCGTCTTGCGGGCATTGCGGACCGCCTTGTAAGCATCCTGAAGCCAGACGGTGAGGAGAGGCACGAGGTCGTAGTCAAAACCGTTGAGGGCGCGACCGCTGTGGGTGAGGTCGACGAGGGCGGCGAGCTGGAGGTGGAAGTCGTGCGGGTTGGCCGGGGCGGTAAGGGTCTGGAAGAACTCCTTGCGCTCGAGGTCGGTGGATGAGTTGTGCTTGGCGCACTCGGAGAGGAGCTCCCAGCCGGCGGTGCGGGCGGAGGGGGGGTTGGCGGGCTCGATGAGGTCCCTGGCGGCGTACCAGATGTCGAGGATGGGGTTGAGCGGGTACTCGGATATGGCGAGCTTGAGGTTGGTGGCGGCGGCTATACGATCGTTGAGACTGCCGCTCTTGAGGAGGTCGTACGAGTCCATCGTGCTGGCCGCGGGCTTGTCGCCAGCGGACATGCTGTGACCGCCGGCGTCGGGTGTCGCATTGACGAGCTCGGCAACGGGGAGGGCGACGGACGACGACGACGACGATAACGGCAACGACCGACTCGATCTCGACGCGGTTAGTCCGCGGAAGACATTGGCGAGACCAGTAGCACGCGAGGAGTCTGGTGAGGGGACGTCATCTCCTCCTTGCGGGGACATGTGCTCGGCCGGCGGGGCTGGCAGGATCAAGGGAGGTGGCCGAGGACGTCTGCAAGTAGGTGGTGGCACGTCTGATTAGTCTGCGAATCCTCAAATGAGGGCCGGTGACCCAGGCGGCTCGCAGAGACTTGGATCTAGTTCTAAATCGCTGGAGAAGCCGACTCGCCTTTGATGTCAAGGTTTCGGAGCATGGAGGGAGAAAGCGCCGGGCTGGTCAAGCTGTCATGGACAAGATTGAAGAGAGAGAGAGAGAGAGAGAGAGAGAGAGAGAGCTAGGGTTGGTTATTCGTCATGGGCGAGGAGGGTTCGGCGAGACGGGTGTGATGTCGATCGACAGCTGAACAAGGTACGTTGGAAAAAGATTCACGGCAGCTCTCGGACTGAGTTTGTATTATTCTTCTGTTCAGTGGTGGCCTACGGGGCGCATTCGACGTCTCGAGATAAGGTCGGACTGGCTTGCCCTGACGCTAGGACGGTTCTCTGGTGGGATGCGAAGGAAGCAGGCCTTTGCATCACCGGCGAGAAAACCGAGAGAAAAAGGCAGCAGAGAGAGGGCGCAATGCAGCGTCGGACCGTTTGGGGAACGGATGATGGACAGAGAGAGAGTCAAGACGCACAGCAAGAGAAGAGAGCAGACAGAGGGAGCCCGACTGGTGACAAGGCAAAAAAAAAAGAGTAAAAGATCTGCCGCGATCAGCAGGATGTATGGTGTTTGGGTATTTGACCTGGTGAGAGAGAACGCACGGGGAGCCATCCAGAAGCGGTTAGATGCAGGGTGCCAATTATTTTTTTCGTAGCGACCCGCGAACGCCTACGGAGCAGGTGATAGAGCTTTCTCCTGGTCGGGAACGCCAATAGATGCACGAGGCGGCCAATGAGAGTGCTGGGAAACCGCCCATGCGCAGGGGCCTTGTGGTGGGGATTTGGCTTCCCGGCGGTGCTGTATGTCTAGATTGGCACCCGAACGTTTCCACTCTGACGCCAAGCGTAGCTAGAGCTGTCTGTCTCAAGCTCTCGGTCTTGCTGGTCGGCACCCAAGATGCTTGGTCAGGATGGCGTTCGTTCTGTCGACCCAACAGAATATCGCACACAATAGGCATGGTGTCTATAGACAGAATTGTTTGGGTCAAGTGTCTGTACTGATCTGCATTCACTGTGGCTGGCATATCCGAGGCATGACCGATGTCGTATCGTATGCACATACCGGCAAACGGTCTCATGATGATTCAAACCCTTGTACGGCAAGGCAACAATGTGGAGCTGCGATGCTGATACGGGATCGAACGTGAGAATGAGGTTGGTTCGCTATTGTATATTGTCAGTTCCCCTGTCTACGGACATGTGACCGTTTTGCATGTAATACGTCTAAAGCATTGCGATATTCCACGGGCCATGCTTCAGTTCCCACCAAGGCCCGTTGCAGTGCATGCAGCACGAGTACCTGATATTTATTACAGATATAGTATTATTACGTAGCACAGCACAGAGAAAACCCCCGCCAACGGCCACTGTAAACACTGCCGTCTTAGCGTCTCAGCGTTCACCATCAACCTGTTCCTAGCCTGTTCCTAGCCTATTCCCAGGCCCAGCTGGGGCCCCTACAGCGCTCACTGTAGCTTCTCTACTGGCTGTTGTGACTGCTGGGCAGTTATTTACTTCTGCACCAACGTAGCGTAGCAGCTGCCGCAACTCCCCACTGCCACCAAGATCATCGTCCTTTTCCCCTTCTCTTCCCTTCTTCTCTTCCACCCTCCCCCATCTTTTCCTTTTTGCGTATCCGACCTGCACAGACCTCGTCTGTCGTCCACGAGATTCACCATGGCGGCCAACATTGGTCAGATTGCACAGCTGCTCAACGCGACCCTTGATCCCAACGAGCACCGCAAAGGTAAGTCCTGCGTTGCCCCGCGAAAGCTCGTCCTCGGTCCCCCTCGGAGGACCCTAAACTAATCAACAACAACTGCAAAAATCCATAGCTGAGGCTGCCCTCAAGCAGGAGTCTGTCAAGCCGCAGTACTCCCTGGCCCTCCTCAACATCGTCAACTCGGACACTCTTCCCTCCAACACGCGCCTGGCCGCCGCGCTTGCTTTCAAGAACTTTATCCGCTCCGGCTACGTCGTACGTCCCGCTCCGCCCTCCCTCCTGCCATCGCCGTCTGTCGCCTGGTCTGCGGCTCGACATGTAAACAGAGGGTGGAAGAAAGAAGACTGACCTGCCGTCGTTGTAGGATGAGGAAGGAAATTACAAGCTTCCTCACGATGAGGTGGCCTCCATCAAGGAGCTCCTGATCGGTCTCATGATAGCATCACCGCCCAGTGTTCAGACCCAGCTCGGAGAAGCCATCAGCGTCATTGCAGACTCGGACTTCTGGAGGCGATGGGACACCCTGACTCAGGTAAGGTGGCCCGAGCAGCGTGCCGTCATCTTGACACCATCATACTCACCCCCTTCCTCTTCTCCAAATAGGAACTCGTCAGCCGATTCTCCACCACCGACCCCAAGGTCAACGTGGGTGTCCTCGAGGTCGCCCACTCCATCTTTTCCCGATGGCGCCCGCTTTTCCGAACCGACGAGCTTTACCTGGAGATTAACCACGTCATCGAGACATTCGGCAAGCCCTTCATCCAGCTTCTCATCGTACGTACCTGCCACTTCACTTCTGTACCTCGGAGTCTGGGCATGGGGCGGCATTGCTGACCTTATCCAGGCCACCGATCAAAAAATCACGGAGAACGCCGGCAAGAAGGAGGCTCTTCGAGGCTGGTTCGAGACTCTCGACCTCCAGGTCAAGATCCTGTACGACATGTCATGCCACGACCTGCCCCCCATATTCGACGATAACCTTGGTAGCATCTCGGAACTCCTCCACAAGTACCTGACCTACACGAACCAGCTGATGGAGACGGACGACGAGACGGAAACGAGCATCGTCGACACGACAAAGGCCGACATCTGCGAGCTTCTCGAGCTGCTCACCATAAAGTTTGACGAGGACTTTTCCAAGTACTGCCAGCCGTTCATCACGAGCGCCTGGAACCTCCTGTCGTCGATAGGCACCGAGACCAAATACGACACCATTGTCAGCAAGGCCCTGCACTTCCTGACGGCTGTCGCGTCGACAAAGGATCACGCCGAGCTCTTTAACAACGAGGACGTGCTCAATCAGATCGTGGAGAAGGTCATCCTGCCCAACGTCGCGCTGCGCGAGTCTGATGAGGAGATGTTTGAGGATGAGCCCATCGAGTTCATCCGCAGGGACCTGGAGGGATCCGACACCGACTCTAGGCGACGGTCTGCTACCGATTTCCTCCGCAAGCTGCAGGAGAAGTTCGAGGGCTCCGTCACCACGGTCGTGTCGAGGTACATCGCCCACTACATCGCCCAGGGCAAGTCGGATTGGAAGGCCAAGGATACGGCCGTCTACCTATTCTTGTCGGTGGCTGCCAAGGGTTCCGTGACGGCCGCGCAGGGCGTCAAGACTGTCAACCCTCTGGTCAACGTCCTCGACTTCTTTGAGCAGCACATCGCCGCCGACCTGGTGGCCGCTGATGCTGCGCACCCCATCCCCAAGGTGGACGCCATCAAGTTCCTCTACACCTTCCGCAGCCAGCTCTCCAAGGAGCAGTGGAAGCAGGCGCTCGTCCCCCTCATCCAGAACCTCAACTCGGACAACTACGTCGTCTACACGTACGCCGCCATCGCCGTCGAGCGCGTCCTCTTCCTGACCGACGACGCTGGAACTCCCATGTTCCCCAGGGCCGACATCGAGCCCTTCGCCAAGGACCTCCTCGATCACCTGTTCAAGCTGATCGAGAAGGACACGAGCCCGGCCAAGCTGCAGGAGAACGAGTTCCTGATGCGCTGCGTCATGAGGATACTCATCGTCATCAAGGATGGTGCCGTGCCCATACTAGACAATGTCCTGACGCACCTCATCCTCATCACCAACGTCATGAAGCAGAACCCCAGCAACCCCCGTTTCTACTACTACCACTTCGAGGCCATCGGTGCTCTTGTGCGCTACTGCAGTGTCAGCAGCGCCGCCGCCATCCACCAGAAGGTCTGGGACTCGTTCTACAAGATTCTTGTCGAGGACGTTACCGGTGAGTCGAAGACGCTCCTGCGGGAGACGGTGTTGCTGCTGCTAACGGTTCTGCAGAGTTCATGCAGTACGTCTTCCAGATACTGGCTCAGCTTCTCGAGTCGGGCCCCTCGGATACCATCTCGGACAGCTACAGGTCCCTTCTCGCCCCTCTATTAGCCCCTACGCTGTGGGAGACGCGCGGCAACGTGCCTGCCTGCACCCGCCTGCTGTCGGCCGTCATCCCCAAGGTGGCTGGCGCCATCGTTTCCGAGAACCAGCTGGAGCCCGTCCTGGGTATCTTCCAGAAGCTGCTGAGCGGAAAGAAGTCGGAGCTGCACGCCTTTGACGTCCTGGACTCGCTCGTCAAGGGTGTGGAACCGTGAGTGACGCCCGTCCACTGCAGATGCTGTACAGCCACGGCGATGCTGACACGAGACTGCAGATCGGCTCTCGAGAAGTATTTTGGAACAGTGCTACAGCTCATCTACACGAAGCTGCAGGGCTCGCCGGCGGACTCGCTCAAGCTCCGGTTCGCCCGCTTCTTCCACCTGGTGAGCGCCAAGCTCGAGGCCGGCTACGGCGCCGACTTCTTCATCAGGCAGTCGGACCAGGTGGACGAGCGGGCCTTTTCGCAGGTGTACCCTGCATTCGTGCTCGCCGAGACGCCCAAGCTGGCGCGCCCGGTGGACCGCAAGGTGGCGGTGGTGTCGCTGACCAAGACTCTGTGCGACTCTCAGGTGTTTGCGCAGAAGTTCCAGAAGGGCTGGGCCAACAGCTGCCGCAACCTGCTCGCGCTGCTGGCCAACCCGCCGACGGTGGTTGCCGGGACGGGCGACGACATCATCGCCGAGGCCGACGTCGACGACATCGGCTTCGGCATGTCCTTTACGGCGCTCAACACGTGCAGACCCCTCGCGCGTGACGAGTTCCCCGATGTGGTCAACGTGACGACGTGGGTCAAGGAGTACATGGTGGCTGCCAACCAGAAGCACGGAGGTGCCGTTGCCGGATTCATCGGACAGAGGTTGGGTCCGGAGGAGCAGCAGGCTATTGCCCAGTACATAAATTAGGCGTATAGTTTCAAGGTGGTCTGTCTTGCAGGTGTCGGAGGAAGAAGAAGAGTGAAGAGGAGTGAAGAAGAGGAAAAATACCATCATATAAAGGAGGTTTTCTCTTTTTTTTTTCTCTCCACCCTAATGTCTTGATCCGCCTACATGTAGTCTCGAGTTGACATGTAATGTAGTCTGGTTGGCATTCGGCGCACTCCCAGGTACACTTTTTACTTCAGAGGTTAAACAGACGGATGGTTGATTATTTAATCTTGACAGGTGGTAGTGTGTGTGTTGTAGTAGAAAGGTCAAAAGCACCGTTGAAATGGTGAAGAAAAATTATTCATGGAATTGGATCATTTAGTCATGCATGATTGATGGGGAAAAAAATCTCCCAAATATCCCTTCCATCTCCTGCGTTCGCGTTCCCTCTTGACCGGTATTGTAATCTGTTGGCCACAACCCAAGATTCAATAAAATCAAATGAGAAGAAAAAAAGGGAAAAGAAAATGGTATCAAGAGAAGATGGGAAGGAAAAAAGACTAGGGGAGGAGTCCTTGCAAAAAAAAAAAAAAAAAAAAAAAAAAAAAAAAAGCCCATACATAGACGAATACAAGGAACAGGGAGAGAGAGAGAGAGGTTGTTGTAATGAGTAAAGAAACCCGATGAGTAATTTGACGTGGAAAAAAACCCCCAAGGAGAAATGAGATATTCATCGACGTGAAAAATAAAATCCTTGGAAAATACAATATATATAAAAACACTTCGTGCCGTATCCTTCATAAAGGTAGCATTAGATGATTGAGGGGGCGTGGTATCAAGGACGGGCGAGGGAGGGGGAGGGAGGATATGCAGAAACAGAACAGGACAGAACAAGAGAGCAAAAAATGAAACCCACATAGATGTCGTTGTTTTTTTTAGGGGGGGGGATGAGGAGGAGGAAGAGGAGGAGTGAAGCGTGAAGCGTGTGAAGCAATGGTGAAGAGGATATAAAAAGCCTCGCAAGTGGCGGGAGATTTACTCTCTGTTATTTTTTTAAAAGAAACCCCCCTCTGTACCGACGACGCCGACACTGTTCCGCCAAGTACACGGTCTGTCGTGACTGTGAGGGTGACCCTGTACTGGGGATGAGACCTGGGTCGGCGGGCTCCTCATTGACATCGTGGTCAGTGGTCTCGGCGGCGGGCGTCTCTGTACATGCTTTGGCGATGTTGGTGTTGAGGTTGATGCTGATGATGATGTTGTGGTTGTTGCTGCTGTTGTTGTAGGAGAGACGACGTCATCGTCATTCTCCTCCGAGGAAGAGGTGTCGTCGTCGTCATCTCTGTCGCCGCCGCTGCTGCTGCTTCGAGGTTGCCGCTGCTGAGGCTGCTGTGGAGCATATTGCTGCTGCTGCTGCTGCTGCTGCTGCTGCTGCTGGGTCCCGCCGCTAGCGTTCGTCTGGACGAGCAATAAGCTACTGGTGCTGGATAGCCGTTTTGTGAAGTCGGTGAAACTCAACCTTTTGGTGGTGCTGGTGCTGGTGCTGGACTGCCTAGGCGTTGTCGTGGCCGTGAGCGACGGGGTCGACTCCTCGGGGATACCGCCCGCTACGGCCATGCCGCCCCCTTCGTTGCCTGACCACGGGAGGTGCTGTGCGCTCTGGGACGCAGCAGGCTGCTGCTGCTGCTGCCGATCAGCCACGCGACGGAGCTTCTCCTGCGCCGTGCGAGGACGAGGCGGCGGCGGCGGCGGCGGCGGCGACTGCCTGATGGATGGGAGCGTGTCGGCACGGAAGCCCGCAGGGCTCCGGGGGTAATTGACCCTCGAGCTGGTCCCAGACACGGACGAGGCGTGCGGCCGGGGCGCGGAGGTTCGCGGCGGACCGGAGAGGTGATGCAGCGCGCGCTGGGTGGAAGGCGAATATAGTGGAGCGCCGCTGTCGTCGTCGCCGTTGTTGTTGTTGTTGTTGTTGTTGTTGCGGTTGTTGAGGTTGTTGCGGCCGTGTCCGTGGTGATGGTACTCATCTGAGAATTCACCTTCGTCAGTAGAGCCGCTGCCGCCGCCGCCGCGGTCGTCGTCGGAGTCCGCAGAGCTGCCGTCGGATTCGGAGCTGTCGTCGGCCTCGAAGGCACTGCGGAGGGCCGTCTGGTCCTCGGTGCTGACGGCGGCCGTCTCCTTCTGCTTGCGACGGTCCTCGGCCTCGCGCATGAGGGCGTCGAAGCGGGCGACCGAGCTCAGCTTCTCCTCGCCCGGCACGGCGTGGTCGGCACCCTGGAGGTAGCGCATCTGGAAGGCCCTGTCGAGGAGGGTCTCGCGCGACACGGGCGGGGAGCTGGCCTCGGACGAGGTGGCGCCGGTGGGGGTCGCGTTGGAGCTCAGGCTGTCCCGCACCTGGCGGGTACCGTCGCTCGACTCACCGGACCGGTAGTCGCCCATCGAGGCAGCCGCGGCGGCGCCGTTTATGGACGCAACAATATCGGTCGGCATGACGGTGGTGTAGTGCTGATTCGGCGCGTAGGGCATCTGCTGCACGGGGTAGTTGCTCGAGGGAGACGATACGTCGCTCCGCCTGGACCTCAGGCTGGGCGAGCCAGAGCTGAAGGTCACCGGTCTCTCACGGGTGCCGGCGCTGGCGCCAGTGCCGGCCCCGGCCCCGGCCCCGGCCCCGGCGTTAGTATTGGTCCCACCGCCGGTCGAGGTTGAGTACGTCGCCGCCGAGGTCTTATGGTGCAGGTAGCGGCTGATGTGGCCGGTGACGCCACCGCCGGTGGCGGGGGGCGCGCTCCCAGGGTTGCTGCTGGGGGCGCTGCTCCCGGGTCCGCTTCCGGGTCCGCTTCCGGGGCGAGGGTAGTAGTCGGAGGCTTCGCGGGCTCGGGGTGAGAAGTGTGGCTGGCTAGATGTGGTGGTGGTAGGGGTGGGGGGGCCGTCGTCGAGGATGACGCCCTTCTTGTTCAGGATGAAGTTGGCCCAGTCGTGCAGGCTGTGGGTGTCGGAGTCGTCGTCATCCCCCTCGGGCGGGGAGCGGAACCAAAGGCTGGTAGAGCCCGAGTCCTTGGATAAGGGTATGAAGCTGCCGGCGCGGCTGGAGCGTCGTTTGCGTTCTCGATCGACGATTGCCAAGACGAGGGTAGGTATGAGGGTACCCTGCTTGCGCTTTGCGATATTCTGGACATGGCATTCCGATATGCAGCTGAGGCACCATTGTTGAACGGGTTCGGGATCGTCCTGTAGGGGAGAGAGGGAGAGGAAGGGGCTGTCAGTTTTTTCTGTTTCAAGGATTTTTTTCTTCGGGTGCTTGAAGCACAGCGTCTCACGATATGGGGCTCGACCAACCCTGGCCTTGTATATGGAGATTTGATAGTCGTCAGCAGACGACGGTGGCGGTAGAGCCTGCTGTTGCTGCTGTTGCTGCTGCTGGGAGGCTGAAGCACCTCGTGAATTGCCTACGAGCTGGGTGTTGCTGGGAGAGAAGATGGTGTCGCGGAAGATGGGAGGACGTCTGGCGATGACGACATGACGGGCCTAGGCGAAGTCAGTCAGTACCGTTTGTCATTGTCGAGGGGGGAGAGGGAATCATCAGGGAGAGAGCGAGAGATGGCCAAGCTGAGGAAAGGAGATGATCTCACCTTCCAGACGGCCCTCCCGAGAAGCTGGGCACGTTCAGGCGGGACCATGAGGGTCCCTTGGAGGCTGTCCATGGGGGGCGAGTGCGATGCAACGTGTAGAGGCAAGGGGCGTTAAGGACGCATGCTCATGCTCGTCTCCTCGGTTCCCTGTCTACCTGCCAGACGAGAAGGGATAAGAGAGGAAGGGAATTGCGTGGCTGGTTGTGTACTGTCCTCTCTCCCTACGCGGTGTGTCGCTGTCGTCTGTTGTTGTTGGTGAGATTGAGTGTGTATGTGCGCTGTAGATGCAACGATTGGTAGCCGTGGTACTAGTAGCAGGGACTCGGGTGGTACGGAAAGTGTCGGGGAATGCTGATGCAACGTTTGAGCTGTCGCGGAAGAGATGTTTTGTTTGTCGTCGATATCGATGGAAGAGGAAGAAGAAGAAAGGGGAGATGTGGTGAGATGCTGACCAAGGTGGAGGAGGAGGAGAGGGAAAGAAAGGGAAAGCTGGCGGGAGGTAAAGGAGAGAGGGAGAGGAAGAGGAGGGATGAGAGGCGCACAGACTGACAGAGGTACGAGCGAGGTACCTACAGTACTACGAGTTGGGTATCGATGATGGTGGTAAATAGCAGGGAGGGGTGTGAGTATATATGTACCTGTACTGAGATACTTGGAGAGAGAGAGAGGAAGAGAGAGAGAGAGAGAGAGCAAGCAGTACGTAAGTCGGTAACAGCACGGTGGGTGTGCTGGAAGAGCTAGAAGAGCCTAGTCTAAGCTGATTACGACGTACGATATATGCTAGTACCAAGAGGCGGTAGTGATGGTAGTAATATCAGTAGTAGCAGTAGCCCCGTACGCAATGATACGTACTATAGTATGGGGGCACTCGTAGATCTTGTACTGCTTGCTTGCCAGTGAAGAAGAAGTTATTTATTTGAAAATTGGAAAATTTTTATCTGAAAAGAAATATATATAAAGGGCACAAGCCTAGAGTGTTGTCCTTTTTTTTCCGCCATCAATCTTTACAGCGTACGGAAAATTCATCATGGTACGGAGTAATAGTACAGACACATTATTGCTCACTGGACAGGGGGAAAGGGGGGGGTGGCGAGTTTATGGAGATTTCTAGACGTTTTTGATCAGGGGCACGGATGATGTTGCTGATGTCGTACCTGTCACCGTACATGTGCTCAGCTGTTGGATTTTTATTTTTTTATTTTTTTTTATTCTTTCCCGTACCCGTGGGGACCTGAAGGCCCACGTTTCGTCGAGCTTTCACGAGTATTATCACACATTATCACTCGTACATGTAGATTGGCAGGATAGGTGTGTTCTGATGGAGGATCTTATTTGCCTATATAGAGTCATGTTTCGATGCTGCTGTAATGCTCCCTCTGACAAGACGGTCGATACAACCATGCCATCAGCATCATCATCGGCATCATGGTCGACTCTAGGGGGGAGGGGGGGGGGGATTTCCTTGGTATACCCGGTCAGTCCAGTCATGAACACAGACAGCCTGGAGAGCATCGCATAGACCTCATTTTACAGCGCATTATACCACTAAACATGGGTCCTGTCATACCCCCCATTCCAGTGGATCGAGCGCACCAATCCGCTAGGTCCTACCGGTCATCCACCTCTTCCCTCTCTCCATTCTCTCTCTCTCTCTATATTATTCTCCCTCTGGTCTCTCTCTCTGGTCTCTCTCTCCACTGGGAACCCCTACATGAACGACCCATCACATCTTCTTTGGCAGAAGCCAGTGATACTCCGTACATGTAGTATTATTATCATTGTCATCACCATCATCGTCACTACCAGACCTGGATGGCGGATGGACCCCTCCAGCAGTTGCCTCCAGCAGTTGCCTCCAGCAGTTACCTCCACTGCGACTCTACGAGTGCAGGTGGCCTACGAGTACAGCTCGCGAACTAGGCCTGGTCCTTTTAGAGTCTAGCGGCCGGTGTCTCGTGAACCAGATGATACGCAACGCTCCCCCCCCCCCGCACCCACTCCCCCCCTCCCCCCCTCCCCCCCTCGTTCCTGACCATCCGGGGATGGCGTAGGATGGCTTGCATTTTGCTGCCATCTACTATG